CTCTCTATTTTACTGTGAATTCTAGCTTTTCCTGTTATATTTATTACAGCCACTGTATCGATTTGCTTCGATTTGAAACCCAAACGTACAAACAATTACAAACAAAAGAACAAACAGAGGCATAAATAAGTGGTGGTTCTGTATACAACTAGAGAGAGCTTCGGACTGGAAATACAGTCGGAATTGTCAAAGACAGCCATCCAAAGTCAATGAGAAAGGGAGCCGTCTTACACAATGTAACAATAATGCAGAAATCAGAGGGAAATGGGAAGCGGCCGTGCTTGTACAGGTGATTGTTTTTCACAGGTTTTGACTGTATCTAGCAAAGCTTCAGAGTGACAAGCGTGGGTGATTGGCGGGTGCTCTGGTGTGGTTTGCTTCTTTTTTCCTATCAACCATCTATCGTCCTTATCTCCCCTTCTTCTTTTGTATGTTTGTTACTCTCTTGTAACACCTCTAATCTTCTGGCGCTCATGTGACCTTGTGCAGTTGCAAGCGTCGTAAAACCTTTTATAAAACTAAAGTAAGAGTGACAAGCAACAAGTTAATTTTTACCATGCTGGGTCTTAATTCAACAATTTGGCTTTCAGTGTGCACCATGTCCGCTGAAAACCTTTAATGTGGTGCAAGTGTTTCCCTTCAGTAGCGCGTGACAATCAAAATGAAGGAACATTTGATACTTCGAAAGGGTTGAGGTTAGGTTCGTGCTATCATCTAAACAGCGACCAACTGTTTTCTCAGAAAAAAACAACAACAAATAAGACGAAGAGAAAATCACTCAAATTAAAGCTATCCATACACGTTTGCACGGTATAAAGAAGAATATTCATCCACTAAAATGAGGATGCGGTTTTTAGCAATCTGACCAGCACTTTAGATCGAAGGAGAGTTGGCCAGTTTTGATTCATATAAAGGGACGCCTTTATGTCGTATATTCAATATTCTAAAAATAAACCTAGAAAAATACGTTAGCAATTCCCTCGAGAAGTTTTTGTAGAGACTTGAGAGCGCCACCCAGTCGAGAAAACAGCGCCAACATGACACAGAACAGGGTAAAAAGCCAACGTTTTGACATGTCGTGTGGTGTTTGGAGGGTGGAATGTTTCACTTGTCTGATATTTATTTCACGCTTTTTTTTCTCTCTCAGGCTTTCTTCTGGTTTCCAGCGTTAGAGGGTCTTAACTGTGTTAATTTGTTTCTCGTTACAACTCCACCCTATTTTCCTGTTGGTTTAGAAAAAGGAAATCAATCATTGGGGGACAAAATAAAAGTAAAAATCATGGTGTTTGAAATGGAACACAGGGGCATAAATTCTGATAGTTGAGCATTTGCAAGACTTTTCCCCCCTATTTTGTTTTTCTTTCATCTTCTGGTTATTTTAGACTCTCCCTCCTCCAGTTTTTTGTTGTTCCATTTTGTTTCTTCTCTCACGGTCGCAAACACAGTGTTGAAATACCCAGAATTTATCTATAGCTTTTCGTTACAAATGAAGCAAAACTTAAAACTAAGCATTGGGTTTCTTTAGCGTTGGTCTTGTCGAAAAAGGGATGAAAGAAAACAATATGCGGGAAAATTGTTAGAGGAATAATGAGTCTTCAAATAAAGCGGCTCTCTACACCTCTTGCATCAAACCTGCTTTGCACAGTAGGACTAAAGTCTCAATGAAGGTGTTCCCCTGTTGATAAATATCTCCCCAGGGCTTTTTAATCACAAGGTGCTTGGCTAATGTTAGATATCCGCCCTCCGCCCCCTCCCTCCTCACCCTTCCACATTCACACATAACCCATAGGTCTTAACAACGAGCTAATACCCCGATAGGCTTTATGTCTTACAGCCGTCAGGCGAGGCAAGAACGGCACTATCTCATACCATTATGTAGAGCCATAGGCCTGGTCGATGAGTCGATGACCCGTGCCCCCATCCCATTCATTTATTTTGCACCACCTGATCAAATTTACTCGGACTTTGCTACTTTCCAGGCGCCCACGAGTCTTGGGATTCCCGACCTCCGAGTGTTAACCGCACGCAAACTGCGAGAAACCGCGAGAGAAACCGCTAGGAGCTGCCCAAGAAGACGCCAGGGATTATCCCAGAGCACTCTCACACTATTTGCGCCGTGACTGCTGCTCTGGGGAGTCCATGGCGTGGATTTGATTATGATGTGACACGCTAAAAAATGAGCATCTTTCCAGAGCTTTGGCCACCAGTTGGAGAGATTGAGATACGAGTAGGAGGGGCACCCAGCAAGGAAGAGAAGAGGTTGGAAGGGAAGACACACATAGCTTGAGTGGTTTGTGGAAAGTAGCGAGGTAAAGATGATGGGACAGAGGCACGGATACACATTATTGTTACTATAATTGTATACTAAAGATATTACAATTCCTCGCCATTTTGAAATATTATCCCCCATCCTCGCCCCCTCTCTGGAAATATCCCCGGATTCTCGATAAAATCATCCCCAACACCAAACCAGACAAAACAAAAGCCTGTCAAGCAACAGAAAGGAAAACAACAGATGAACAAACAAACAGCCACAAGCCGTGTCATGATCGATAAGATTATCTCCCTCCTGTGGCCACGTAATTTGCTGTAAATCAAAATTCTAATTTTTAGGCCTATTACGTCATTTATAGCTCCATCTTTTTGTGGAGAAGGAAACGGTGGATCTCTAGATAATTCATTTAGGTAAATTTATTAACAATTTTGATTTACGGTTGGTTATACCTCCACGGGATTAAATTCAAAGGATTCATAGAATTCGTGATCTTGCTACTGTGTAGCGTTGAGTCCTCCCTATGCAACAAACGTCTGAAAGTCTTTTTTATTTTGTTTTTGTAGGAGTTTTACGTCACTTGCAACACAATTAGGTCATATAATATGTGCCGGTAATTAGAAGCGTTACAGGAGAGTAACAAACGCACACAAAAAGGAGGAGGATTAAAGATGTTTGATATGAAAGAAGGAGCAAACACCATCTGTCTTGAAGTCTGACGACTCACTCTTGAGGCTGAGATAGGAGTAAGAAAAACAAACACAGGGAGGAGGAAGAGGAGCCCGGAGGAGGAGGAGAAGCAGGAGGAAGAGGAGGAAAGGTTGAATGAAGATCACATTGACGAAATAAGGAGCATGATCGGTTGTAGCGAAGGATGTTGAGCATTTTGACTCTGAGGTTGAGTAAGACGGGGTGTGACTTAAACTGAATATTTATGAAGGGACGACGTTTTAACCCCTTCAGGGCTGAGGCTTTTTCATGTATACTTGTACATACAAGATAAAACGTACAGTCAAGAGAGATTCAAACAAAGAGAAAATACCATTCACGTAAATAAGGATATACAAGTGCACACATTACAATTACATTTTCTTAAATAAATGTTCTCTGTAATATACCAGTTGAAAATATAACGCTGGACCAGTTTGGGAGATTAATAATATACATGTGCATCTACACAGCAATGAAGTGGTTAAGGAGGTATCCCCTCCGTTGAGTAGAGACGAAGAGTTATGGATAGAATCTGTCCCCGAAGACTCCAGTTCTGGAATCAAGTAATCAATTTTTAAGGAAGTGCGGTTAGACAAGGCGAAACGTTTGGCTTCATTTAGATAAGTATAAGATTATTCTGCAGATTCCGCATCAGAGACAGCTTACTGACCATAGAGATCTTGCATCTTTGGTCAGACTCTTCATCAGTGCTCACAGAAGACGTGAGTCTCATTCCCAAGTAGGAAAGAGTTCTACATCGTGTATTAACGCCAACTTGCCTCTCTGATAAGGTGTATCCCAGTACTCAGCAAAGGTTGGCTTTGACAGCAGCCTGCTTTCAAAATGAGCTAAAAATATTATATCAATAGAGAGTTGCCCTTCGTGGAAGACTTGGCAGTTTGTTTCATCATAGGTGGCCTTCACAAGCTTGAAAATTCTGGCAGGTATTCCATAATGGCGCATGAGTTTCCACAGTGTTTCCCTGTCCACGTTGTTGAATACTTTCCCAGGTATGGACAGGAGTGATATGCCTCTGTAGTTGTTACAATTGCTGACGTCTCCTTTCTTTGGTAGCTTTATGAGATGGCCTTCCTTCCAGTCTGATGGCATTTCCTCCTCTTGCCTAACCTCAAGGGCTTCCGGTGGTATATGGTCGGGTCCAGCTGCCTTGTCGGACTTCAGTGCTGTTACAGCTGCATCATTGTCCTCTCTCGAAGGTGGTTCCGTAACGCTTGGGAGGTCATTTCTAGTTGGAAGAATTTCTGGCTGGTTTTCCGGAGGTGCTCTGTTCAAGAGTTGATCAAAGTGTTCTCTCCATCGGTTCAGTTGTCCCCCTGGGTCAAAGATAGTCTTTCCCCTTTTGTCTTTCACTGGTAGAGTAGGCTTGATGAACCTACCTGAAAGAGTTTTTGTTGTCTGGTGTACAATCTGCAAGTGTCCGTCTGTTGCTGCTTTCTCTGCCTTTCGGCCAGGCCATTCAGGTAGGTATTCTTTACCTTCTTGATGGAATTCATCACCTCCCGGTTTACTTTGGTGTGCTTTTACTGTACAGCGAGTTTCTCAGTTCGGGTTCGGCTGTTGTTGACGTGGGTCTTCAGCTCTCTTCTTCTTTTGACTTTGTCAAGAGAGACCTGTGAAATTCATTCTTTCCTGGGGATGACTTTGGGTCCTAGGGTGCTCTGGCAAGTTGCACTTACTGCCTCTTTTATCTTGTTCCAGTGTTCGTTTTCTTCACTTTCATCCAGATCCTGAAGGATTTGAAATTAGTTCTTCAGTTCCAACTTGAGTTCATTTTTCTTTATTGGGTCTTTCAGAAGGCTCACTTCATACTTTTGGCGACTTCCAATTGTGATTTGTGCATATCTGTTCAGTTTCAGTTTCATCTTCCCAAAGATCAATTGTGGTCTGATGCTACGTGTGCTCCTCATAAGACTCGGGCGTCCTCTAGTGAGCGTCTTAACTTTCGGGAGATGCAAAAATGGTCAATCTGGTTTTCTGTTGGTTCATCCAGGGAGACTCAAGTGGCCTTATGAATCCTTTTATGTGGGAAGATTGTTCCTCCAATAACCAAGTTGTTGAATGCACAAACGTTATGGAATCTTTCTCCGTTGTCATTTGCCTCTCCTAATCCATATCTGTCCATGATTTCCTCACAGTGACCATAGTCCGAACCTATCTTTGCATTTAGGTCTGCCATGACAATGTTGATGTTGTTACCTGGAAGTTTGTCGATCATACTCTGCAGAGGGTTGTAGAAGTCATCTTTATTCTCCTCTTCTGCACCATTGGTTGGGGCATACACTTGTATGATGTTCATGTTTATGACTGTCTTCCTACCATCTCTTTCCTTGAGATATTTCTTAATTCCTAATGAGGCCATGATGATCCATGGACCGTGCGCTTCCCAGCCCCTGAATGTCTTTTGAGCTGTTTTGGTTATGATCATCCCTACTCCTCCCTGTGTGGTCCATCACTGTCATTTCCTGAATAAATGAAAAGCTCCCCCTCTTTCATTCGCTTCTGTCCAGACTGGTTCTAGTGGGTCTCGCTGATTCCCAATATGTGTAGGTGGTATTGGTGCATCTCTTGGAGGTCCTGTGCAGTTTTTACAGCCTCGTAAAGGGGCCTAACGTTCCACGATCCAATCCAGAGAGATTTGGACTTGGATGATAGTGGAGGCATCTGCCCAGCAGCTTCTCTTCGGCTTTTACTGCCTCGTATCATGGACTCTCCATTTGGAGAAGATCCACGTCCAGCCAAGCAAAGACAATGGTTTTTGCTTGCATGTGTTTCTGTAACAGGTTCTTTTTATGAGAGAGGTTGTTAGCCTCGTGACTCAACCCCTAACCTGGAGGGAGGATGGCTGTTTCAGGAGTCAGAACTTGGTTCGCCATTTAGTCGCCACGTACGACACGCTAGCACCACGTCAGTCCTATCCTTCTCAATTCCGGGACTGCACGGCAGCCCTTTAGAGGCGCACGTTCTTTATCATTGTGAACACAAATGAAAAAGAAAACAGCTGTAAATTTAACAAACTATAAGTTTCAAGTAAATGTGAATAAATTGGATAATATAATGTGCATCTGAGCTTAGACACTCTCTGTGGTTTGCGTGCCATCAAAGGGGCTGTGCCTCCTCCTGGTATGCAATGTGCCTATTTTCTAGAATTATCTAAAAAATAAATAAATCAATAAATAAATAGAAAGGAATAACAATCGCTACGTTTTCTCTGAGTTGTAATCTACGACGATCTCCCCCGGTAGCGAGCTCGTGCAAACGATATGTGTGGGTGCGTATTCGGTTCCCAGAAAGACACAAATCAGCAAACAAACAGCACAGAATCACATTTTTGCTAGCTTTCTTGAGCAATAAATAATGTGGCTGCAATGCATTTTTCGTTTCCAGGCCAGTGGAAGGATATAAAATTGTCCATGAATGACACAGGAAAAAGGCGCAGAAGACCTCGCGGGCCAGGATACAGAGATACATATGTCATCACCCGAGAAATAAACACCTCCAAATCGACTCCCAAGGACGCGTTCACACGTTTTCGTATCTCGCCTGCATGTACCCACGGTGGAAAATCACAGTTGGCTCCGAGTGTCAGAAACGATACAATCAAGTTTCTTTCGTTCCTCCTGTGTCTGTCTGTCAGTCTGTTTGTCATAGTGCGCCTCTCTCGTCTCTCGGTCTCTTTTAAGCTTTACGAGAGAGAGAGAGAGAGAGAGAGAGAGAGAGAGAGAGAGAGAGAGAGAGAG